CTGTAAGGACTGAAGATATTTAAATTAAAATTGGAGACCCTTAGGCCAAGTCTCCCCTGGAGTATGTCCTCTTTTAAGGAATTCAAGATGACAATTTTTCTGAAATGGAAAGCTATACCAGCATGAGGAACTCGCTTGCCATCTGAAAATGTTTAGGTCCCAATATGGCTGCCAGCAAGCACGTAACATTGCGCCCAAATGGATCTCAAGCCGATGAGCAAGACTATGTGGAGCTGAAGGTTCTGGAGTCCTCAGAACTTCTCCGAAGTTAAGGGTCGTGGATCGATCTGAGACATAAAAGTTACAGGTGAATTGGATACTGCAAGTGACAAGAGCTGTGGACTCCATGAACTAGACCTTGATGCAGGAAAGCTGTTCACGATGCAATGCTTGAACAGTAAGAATGCAAAGTACATTGCAGCAGGACTGCAGTGAGTCGACTTGGGTGAAACTTCACTTCAGCCAGAAGAGGTGAAGAGAAACAATGATATTGAAGCCTCTGTTTTTGCTTCGGCATCCTACTGTGACTAACTCTCTCCAAGGTTGCACGTAAAGGCCTAACTAAATAAAAATCAATTAATTAATTTAACTGAAATTGAAATTTTAGCAGTCATGTAAATATATATAAAAACGTTATCAAATTCTAAAAATGAAAATGATCGTATTCAATAGGAGAAAGTCATTTGAAGTGTTTACGAAGAGACTAGATAAGGAAAAGATCAAGCAACTTGGAGATCAGTTAACTGACTCTACATGTGGAAGAAAGAAGAGGAAGGGGAACAGAAGAAATAAGAAAAAAAAATAACAAGAAAAAAAAGTAAGGGGAAAAATGAACAGAGCAACCCAAATCTGAAGGACAGTGTCAGATACTTTACATTCTTTGAACTGGAATCCCAGGAAGAAAGAAAGAGGAAGTGGGGAAAGTGGATATTTAAAGATATATCAGCTGAGAATCTTTCATGCTAATGAAAGATATTAAACCCAAAGTAGAGGGAGCTCAGCTAAGATATATAGTAATAATAATTTATTTTATATATAAATTTAATATCTATGACCTTGTAATGTCAAACTAATGAAAAACAAAGATAAAAAAAATATTTAAACTACCTGTGGAAAATAAACAATATTTACCAGATAGCAGTGATAAAAGAAATAACTGATTTAGATACATAGTCATAAAACTTAGGAGACAAAATAACATCTTATAAATGCTAAAATTTAAAAGAATAATTTAAGCAAAATGTATACAATAAAAATAGCCTCAAGAATTAAGGTAAGGAGCATGTGCACAGATACAGATAAAAGATAAGAGCTCATGACATACAGAATCCAGGAACACCAAGGGAAATAGCAATACCAGAAGGGTAAGGGAAGGTGGGGAGAGGGGGGGAGGAAGCGGGAACCGAAGGCAATGATCAACACATAACCACACACACCCCTCCAGCGGGATGAACAACAGAAACCATGGGGGCAGGGAGACAACAGTTAGTGTAAGATATGAAAATAATCATAATTTATAATTTATCAAGGGGTCACGGAGGGGCGGGACGCGAAGAGCTGATACCAAGGGCTCAATGGAAAGTAAACGTCTAGAAAAGAATGATGGCAACACACGTACAAATATGCTTGATGCAATTGATGTATGGATTGTTATAAGAGTTGTAAGAGCGCCCCCCAAAATTGTATTTTAATACATTTTTAAAAAGAATAGAATAATATGTGTAGTAACTTCCACTAAATAATACATTAAAAATAAATAATTTATATAGCACACAATAACCAACTGAAAGTACTGGAGAGTGAACAAAAGTAACTGTAATACAGGTATATTCATGCAGAAAGATTTGAACTACCAATGTATTTAGCAACACAATAAACCTCAAAAGCATTATCTTGAGTGAAAATAAGCCTTACATGTAAGAGTACACATTGACGTTGTTTGATTCCATGTATATGGAATTCTAGAATAAGCAAAAATATTCTGGGAGAAGGAAAAAAAATCACAATTATGGTTTCTGGGTAATTAGGAAGCGATTGAGGGTGAAAATACGTGAAGGAATTTTCTGACATGGTAGTAATGTACTATATCTTGAGAGAAGTTTAGCTATACAGGTTTCAAAATTAAAAGAATAAATGTATTCTTTTTTCAAAACATTTATTGGGATTCAATAGAGATCTATCAGTTCATAATTCAATCACATTAAGCAGTAATATTCAGTTGTTACCAAATCAGTTTCTTTTTTTTTTACTGATTTTACAATGTCTACCAGTATAATTCTTTTTTCTTTTTCTTTCTTTTCCATTTATTCATTCATTTATTTTAAACATTTTATTAGGGGCTCATACAACTGTTATCGCAATCCATACACACATCAATTGTGTAAAGCGCATTTGTACATCATTCTCAAAACATTTTCTCTCCACTTAAACCCCGGACATTAGGTATCCAAATCAGTTTCTAAACATTCTTTTTCTTTTTGAACTCCTGGACATCAGCTCCCATTTACTGCCCACCCCCTGCCACTGTACCCCACGGAAACCCTTATTCTACTTGCCATCCCTATGATTTATGCACTTCTGTAGTTGCATTGTATATAAATACAAAAATCTAATTAATAATATGAAGGCAGTAGCATTTGGAAAGAAAAGATGTTTAACACCTGGTTTTGCCCTTCAATGAGGCATTTCCCCTATTGAAAGCCTCAAGCAATGCTTACTACCCTTCCCACGGTGGCCACCTCTCAAGGGGTGTACATATCTGAGGTGTCATCTCACCCACAAAGTGACAGTCAGGAAAAACCCTACACTACCTCTGGATGTAAGTTCAGGTCTTTCGATCAGGGAAATCTAGTCTTTTGAATATTAGTAGCTAATAAATTCCTTGGCAGAACATACTTATTACCTCATGAGAAGTATCTATTCCAGTAGATTAGAGGAGAGCTCTCTAAAAAATGGAAATGAGGACACAGACATGATGACAGGTATATGGAGGAAAGGAGGCCGCTCTATTATTTCCCATTCCACAATATATTCATATTATGTGGCTTTAACAAGTGTGGTTTATACTATTCACTTTCAAGGAAACGGAGTAGGACCTTGTCACTGCTTTGATCAAATGAAAGATGACAGATGTGATGTCAAGTGGCTTTGAAGAGTAGGATATATGGGATACACAGGAATCAAATCGACTACATCTTTGGGAAGAGATACGGTCAACATCATCAGCCAAAATTGGCTAGGAACAAACTGTGTAATAGACCGTCAACTGTTCAGATGCGAGTCAGGATCTTGTTAGCTTTGGGGGCTCTTTGGTTTTTGTATGGTTTTGGTACATGAAATCCAGGCCAGGTGAATCTACGGAGACAGTCACTGCATTAATGGTTCCTTGGGGTGTTGCAGGGAAGGCAGGGGTCAAGTGGGGAGCTAATAGCAAGGAGTACAAGAAAAAAGAAATTTTATAAAATTGATTGTGATGATGATTATACAACTCTTCTTGGTATGATAGAACAGTTGAGTTGTAAGGTATTTGGATTAAGTTCCAATAAAACTACTTATTTTAAAAAAATTAAAGTGAAAGAACAACAATTCTACAAAAGCCAAAATGTGACCTTAAATATGTGCTACCTGAATTTAGAGACCGTTTGAAGAACAAATTTTATGCATAGAAAATCAATGACCCATGACCAGAGTGGTGGGAAGACATCAAAAACATCACACATGATAAATCCAAGAGGTCATTAAAATGATAGGAAAGAGAGCTCTAGGTCTGAAAAATTCATTCGTGCCTGTTCTCTTGGATTAGCAATTCTTCAAAATCAGTCACCGCTCTGTGAGGAAATCCAAGCCACAAGGATACCCAGACCACAGTGTGCTTGAATCTTAGTCAATCACCAGCACTAAAGTGCACTGATTTGAGTGAAATATCTTGAAAGTGGATCTTCCACCTTTCGTTTGAGCTAGCTCAGCTTATGCCACTTGAAATAAAGATGAATTAACCCTGGAAAACTTGACCCACGTTGCAGATTCCCTAGCAAAATTAATTATTGTTGTCTGAAGCCACTAATTGTTACGATGGCTCGTTATTCCCTTATAGCACCTGAAACTTCACTGCGTGCCGGGAGCAACACAGATTACTCTGTTTTCCCCTAATTCACTTAAATGTATCTTTGTTGATCTGAAAACTAGAAGTTATAAAGAGGACTACCTGAACCTTGACAAGATGTCCAGTTTTGCAAATATAACCCATTATTTCAGCCTTGAAAAGTTTCTAGATTGGCCTCCTCTTTCCTTCATGTCTAAAAAGATGGTTCAGAAATTCTTAGAAATGTTTAATGTATTTTCTCTGGAGGAGATGGTGCTGTGTGAGAGAGGAAGGTGGTGGAGAGAGAAGTGGATTCTGCATTTCTCACGCCCACTGCTGAATTAAAAGTGGTGCATGCAGCGTAGTTTGCAGCCCTCATATTTCTCATCAAGCATTAAAGAGACTTTAACAGTCTGTAAAATATCTCACTTCCTATAATTCTTGAAAGTCTCACGTAAGAAGCTGACCTTTGCAAGAGAAAAATAATTAACTTTGTACGGTATAACCCCGGTACAAAACCGCATCAGGACTCGACATAATTGGATTTCAACATGAAGTGTCGAGAAAATTTTGCATCGGAGCTCAAACAAAACATCGGAATCCGACCCAATAACCGTGATTTTTGTAAATAAAAGCAGTTGGTGTTTCGGTCACTGGGCATTAGTTGGCGTTGTTAGTACGTGTTGTTTAAACCTTTCGCAGCTGTGTTCCAAGCAGTTTGCTGTCATTTTCTTAGTTTTTGTGACTTTTTGTACTGTTTTTAGATAAAAAACATGGGTCCTACGAAGGAGTGTTTGGGAGATAATTATCTTGATAAGGAACTGGTTAACCAAGTTATCTATAGTCAACCCTTTTAGAAAACATTTAAGGAAACGCCAACAGCAGACCACATTAGACAGATTTTTTTTTTTTTTTTTAGGGAAATCCAGCCGGGTCCTCGTGAAGAAAGGCAAAGAAGGGAGGAAAAAAACTCCTGAAAAACAGCTACCAGTGGATTTGATGGAAAGGGATTCCCCTTCCAAACGGTGACTTTCTCCACACCTCCTCTCCACACCCGCATCCACGGATCCAGATCCTCGTCCATCTCAAGGTATGGGTCATACTGTAGTTGTTAAAAACTTTTTTAATGTTGGGTTTCTTGTTTATAATATTTAACTCTAAGCTTATTTACTTTGAAGTCTGTGTAATGTTTTGTATAAAAAGGCAAAGTAAGGGTAAAAACTTGGTGGTTGAGAATGGATGGATCTGCTTTCGGTTATTTCTTATGGGGAAAAATTGATTTGGAACTCAGCCGCATTGTATCTCGATGCTCCTTCTGGAATGGATTAGCTTCGAGGTCCGGGGTTCTACTGTACCTCTCCATATGGATCCCAAGTGGTGGAGTGGTTACTTGGTGACCTGTGATCTGCAAGGTGTACAGTTCAAAACCACCAGCAGCTCCAAGGGAGAAAGCCTGGGCTTGCTGGAAACGGCCAAGGGCTCAGTGAGTTTGGGCTCCCCTACAAAGCCATCCAAGACCAGTCTTTCTTGCGTCCCTGCCATCCCTCGTCGAAGGCAGCCACAGGACACCTGCCGAGAGAACTGTTTCCTCGTTCTCACCAACAAAAAACGAGAGTCCATCTCTTCCAGAAGGTCTTTCCGGGACCAAAGAGAGCTTTACCAGAAGCCCCTAGAACAGCGGTTCTTCACCAGTGGGTCACGACTCCTTTGGGGGTCGAATGACCCTTTCACAGGGGTGACCTGATTTATAACGGTAGCAAAAGTACAGTGATGATGTAGCAATGGAAATACTTTTATGGTGGGGGGTGGGTCACCACAACATGAGGAGCTGTATTAAAGGGTCGCAGCATTAGGAAGGTTGAGAACCACTGCCCTAGAAAATATCTCTTGTTTCTCATTGTCTAAACGTGCTTTGTTTTCATGTTTCTGAAAAAAATTCTTGACTACAGGGAATTCCATACCGTGATTAGCTTAGGCCTGACTTCTTAGAACATTCTCTGGTTAAGGGAGTAGAAATTATAATCACTGGTTGTGTGTCAGGGTCACAGTAGAGCTGCAAAGCTGCTCATTAGAGAAGTGCTGAAATGCTTTCTGGGAAGATGGGCGCCTTCATGGGTCATTGCTGCCTAAACTACAGGAAATGTCCTCAAACAAGTTATGTAGCTGGTGAGAATTTGTATGTTTGATTTATCTTACTCTCGTGTGTTTTTCTGTCTTGTTTTGTTTGCAAAGACCATTTAGTAACAACAAAACAAAGCAAAAGCCCTTTTCTAGCCATAGAGAAAAGACAATCTGGCATGAACATTTGATTGGGAGGGTGGATAAATGGAATCTACTGGTTCAGAACCTGAGAGGGGATCCCCTAACAAGATCTTCCTAATGAAAAAAGATCCTTCAAATCCTGTCAGATACCCCAATGTTCGGGAAGAATGCCGCCCGGGGGATTTTCATGCCCTTACTGATGTTGACTAATGTCTTGAGAACCCAGGTATTTGGGCCGTTATGGAGCGAGATTGCACATCAATAACTGACTCAGGAAAATAGCTTCTAAAAAATATCCACAGCTTGGTGCCAAGGTTCCGCGTCGCACTCCCGTTGAAATCCCTCGCCTGTGTCACTCGATTAGATAGGAAATACATATTTTATGTGTTTCAGATATTTATTTAAAAGTTTCATTTTCACTTAATAAATCCCCAGCCACGGCATGCATGCAAGGTTTCTCCACATGGTAATTTATGCTTATTGAAGAATTACTTTTGAAAGTGCATGGGCTGCCTGTCACTAAGGGAAATTGTGGTCACTCCGTTTTTAGACTTATTGGCTGTTAAAGATTTGGGAGTTGATATACATTTGAAATGTTTATGCCTTCTCTTTCTTGTTAATTATTGATCTAAACCTTGTGAATTCCAAGACATTTGTGAACATGACTTGCATCAATCCCCAAGGCTGCTGAGAGGTCCAGCCAATAGACTCCCTAACCTACAGATTTGCAGGGAACTCGGCAATTGAGCAGGCTAATTTCCAGGGTCACACAGGGGGTCAGTGGTGGCCAATCTCACAGAATTTATAACACGGGTACAGTGCATCTAACTTGTTCACCAAGACCTTTTGCCATGTACTCAGGAGAGCACAGAATACACAAAGTGTTACCTATCTTGTGCTCTCTTTTCCAATGTTGTTGTTAATTGCTGCCCAGTTGATTCCTAATTATGGTGACCCTGTACACATAGGGTAGAACTTCTTCATAGCATTTACAAGACTAACCTTTGAGAAGCCCCCCATCAGCTATGGTTTCTAAGGCAATTCTGGGTGTGTTTGAACGGCTAACCTTTCAGTTAGCAGTTGAAAAGTTAAACATTTGCACAACCCAAGGATTTGTTTAATTCGTTCCTGTGTCTAATGTATCTTTCATCTGAAGCACATACGGAATATTTCCAAATAAGTAAGCCCCACTCTTTCCTATGTCAGTACAAGTACCAGCTGCCCTTGGGCTGCTGCCCCATCTGTGGCAGAGTAGAACAATGCTTCACAGGTTCTTGTTGTTTTTTTCTAAGTGTTCTTACATACACAGGTATGTAAAACATTTGCCATTTCAACAATCTTCACCTGTTCCACTCACTGACATTAATTATGTTCACTATACTCAAGTAGCATCCTTAATTGTTGCTAATTTTTCCATCACTTTTCAAAGAAAGTTGGTTTTTGGTTTTTTTAAGACACCAGGCCTTTTTTTCTGAGAAACTCCTAGGTAGACCCTAGGGAATACACCCCCCCAAACATTTGATTAGCAACTGGTAGCCTTCACAGACTGTATTGCCCAAAGAGCCTTCCTCTTCACATATAGAGACACACACACACACACACACACACACACACACACACACACGCGACCCCATTCCCTTTCATCTTTAACCTGTCCACCACCTTAAGGCAAAAGAGTATCTTTAAAATGGAAATAATAGCTCGGCTGTTTGAGAAATTAGCCATCAAGGTTTGAAAATATGACAAGTGTTATTGAGGTGGGCTGCTCAGACTCTCCTCCTTGATGATCATAAGCCGAGTCTCAGGAGCAAGACAAACCAGGCCATGGTATCCTAACAGCCTGCACAGCATCCTTATCCTCAGATCCCCAGAAAAAAGAAGGGAGGAAACGGTACTTTGTTTTGTTTTCTAAACATATGCTCTTAAGGGTAATCCTCAGATCTTTGCCTACCCATTAAATCCCTAAGAAAATTCACTTGCTACTGAGAAAAAAAATTTTTTCTAGATACAAAACCATCTTCAACCTCCTCCTAATCATCAAATAAATTTGAATCTGTCTTTAGGATCTCCTTGATGTGTTCTTTTTTTAAGTGATTTTTTTAAAATTTTACTTTATTGGGCTCTTACAGCTTTTATCACAATCCATACATATATCTATTGGGTCAAACACATTTGTACATATTTTATCATCTTCTTTTTCAAAACATTTTCTTTCTACTTGAGCCCTTGGTATCAGCTCCTCATTTTTTATTTTTCCTCCCTCACCCATGTCCCTCCCTCATGTCCCTTTGAGAAATAATAAATTACTCTTTTCTTTTTTCATGTCTTATACTGATGGCTCTCTCCTTTCACCGACTTTTCTGCTGTCTGTCCCCCTGGGATGGGAGCCATATGTCAATTATTGTGATTGGTTCCTCCTTACTCCCCCACCCTTCCCTTACCCTCTTAGTCTCATTGCTCCCCTTATTGGTCCTTGGGAGTTTATCTGTTCTGGATTTCTTGTGTTGTGAGCTCTTATCTGTACCAGTGTACATGTTCTTGTCTAGCCAGATTTGTAAAATAGAATTTGGGTCATGATAGTGGGGAGGGGAAGCATTAAAGAACTAGAGAAAGGTTGTGTTTTGTTGGTGTTATACTTCAGCCTGACTGCCTTTGGTCCTTCTGACAGGGGGTGTCTGATTGACTGTTGAAGGGCCTCTGGCCTCCCCCTCATTCCCACTGACATAATTTGTTTGTTTGGTTTGGTTTTTTGATGCCTAATACCTGATCCCATTGATACCTCATGATCACATAAGCTGATATGCTTCTTCCATGTGGGCTTTGTTGCTTCTGAGCTTTATGGCCATTTGTTTGTCTTCAAGCCTTTAAGACTCCAGATACTACATCTTTTGATAGCCAGGCACCATCAGCTTTCTTCACCACATTTGCTTATGCATCCATTTTTTCTTCAGCAAAGGTGTTGATGTATTCTTACATCTTATTTCCTTGGAGCTAATGAGTATGAAGAAGTAATACACAATTTGTTGGAAGAGTAGACATCAGATTATGGAGGCCTTGAAATCCTGAGCTCTGATACCCTGTAACCAGATGATATCCTGTAAGCGATACGGAGTCTATTTCTAGAGTTCTTGCTTCATCTTTTTGGGAGCTTGGTTAAGACTTATTCTCCATAATGAATTGACATCCATGGCTGGGATAGCATTACCATCAAGATCCAGAAAAGGAAATGATTCCTCTGGACCTGAGAACCCTGTGTAGTGAACCTCCTAAGAATAAGAGAAAAAGGAAAAAAACATTGCTTGCCTGTCAGTTTATTGTTCTGTGGTGACTTGTATGTTGGTGTGATGCGTAAGCCATGGCACTGGTATTTCACATATCAGCAGGGTCACCCAACGGGAACACGTCTCAGCAGAGTTTCCAGACTAAGAACAGACTACGAAGGACTCTGTTGTCCACTTAGGGCAACATAGTCGCTGAAACCCTTCTGGATGTCGTAGAAACCGTGTCAGGTACTGAAACCCCAATGAGTACATGCAGAACATTGGCAGAGATCGAGCCGGAAGATGAGCCCTTCAGGTCAGAGGCACTCGAAAGAAGCCCGAGGATGAACCGCTTTCTTAGAGTGGAGTCAACGACAATGACAGGAGTGGAGTAAAGCCTGCGGGTATGCAGCCTTCAGTACCTTCATTTGTTCATGGAATCTGACTCAAAATAAGAAGAAACAGCCACAAACAAACAAAACATGTTGCTGAGAATAAGGGGTGTCAGAGCAGAGATCAAAAACCTATCTGAAGACAGTGGCACATCCCCTTACAAAAGGGTCACAAG